TGAATGTATATGACTACCTGAAATAAGTCTTGAAAAAAAAAACTTTGATATGGTGAGACATACATCCGAAGAATTTCTGGTATTATATAAATCGCAAAAATTTATTTGGCTGTCCAAGCAACATCCAACGTTTATTCAGTAATGCCAGCAATTTAATAGCAAAAAGAGCGATATTTTTAAAAATAAACATCTATCAACATCAAATTATTTATCACGAATAATGTTATTAAATATATTAAATAAATATGTTATCTATATAAAATAATTATAAACTTCAATGTGCCTAAATTTTGTGACAGAACTATCATTATAAGAATAAATACATATTAATTTTTACATTATCGTTTTAATCTTCAAATTTTTAAAATTTTAAATACTGTAAAAAAAGATAACAGATATCTAATATCAGATTCAAAAAATTGTATTTGCGCCAATTATAGATATATTCATCCGGATCACTACGATATTTCCCCTATAAGTTTCTTTTTTTTTCTTTTTTTTTAAAAAAAATAAAAGGTTTACACTTAATCATAGAAGCATCAAGATAAAGAATGTTCAATTATTTAGTCATAATTTACTAATAATAATAAAGTTTCTCTCCTCAAATTTAATATTGAAATTTTTAATTACTAAAAGCACAAGAAAAAGGAAAAGTACTTTAAACTTTCACTATTATACAAAGTCTTTTTTTTTGTTTTTGCCATTTTACTCATTTTACTTCAATGAATACGTGAAAAAATCGCAAAAAAAAAAAAAAAAAAAAAAACCAAAATTTAGACACAAACGAAACAATCCATTCATTTAAATCTTTTTATGCCAAACTTTATCAAGCAAGCATAAATTTAAACCCAGTTTAAAGATAAAAGTTGCCAGAAAAAAATAAATATTTCCATTAAATAAAATTGCATCACGAGTTAATAAGCCAATATATTATTCTAAATCAAAGTTGTAAATACATAAATGTACTGTATATATTATATTTTTAATAAATAAATGACAATTTTTCTTTTTTATTTGTTTATTATTCAAAATTCATCTATTAATTTAAAATAATTCGCAAACTTCAATGTCAATTTTATATTACTATAATTATTTTTGATTTGTCTTTATAAATCAGAACATTGAAGGGTTTCGGAATTAATGATTCGGCGTCCGATTCCATGCTGATAACAATGTTCGACATTATGTGTTCCATCAGAAGAATCCATATTAGTAAATTTTTTATAGTTTTAGAAGTCCTTGTGATTTCAGATGGCACGTCCCGAATATGTGACAGGTTACATTAAGTGCAGATTTAATTTATTTTATATTTGATATTTAGATATACTCATATATTTAAAATTTCGTGCTGAAAACTTTTGTTTAGAAGTCAAACTACGGTTATCATAGTAAAATCTTGAGTTATTTACGATTTTTATGTGAGAACAGAAAAATCGTAAATAGCTCAAGATTTTACTATGATAACCGTAGTTTGACTTCTAAACAAAAGTTTTCAGCACGAAATTTTAAATATATGAGTATATCTAAATATCAAATATACAGTAAATTAAATCTGCACTTAATGCTCTTTCGATTCGGTGATCGATATGCTTTCAGATGAATAAGTGATGTATTTATTTCAAAAGAAGGGACTTACAAATTCTATTTTTTTAAAATATGTACTTATTTACATAATTGCTTTGTTTATCTCATAGACAGAAGTTCGTCTGATTGGCTAATAAATTCAAATTAATATTACATTATTTATACAATTTAAAGTACTTTTTAGAAAAAATAAAACTACAAAGAATAAACAAAAAAGAAACATATAAAAAGGTTTATAAGGGTTGTAGGACTCCACCATTAAAAATAAACTAAATTAATTTTGGTTTTAGAGAAGTTAGCATGGTAATAACCTATCTTTAAGAAGTCGCTATTATGCTAACTTCTCTAAAACCAAAATTGATTGAGTTTATTTTTAATGGTGGAGCCCTACAACTAGGATGGAAAAAACGTTTTAAACAGTTTTTTAGATGTTTTAAAACTTTTAAAAAACTTTTTAAAACGTTGGCGCTGAGACTAAAGTTTAAAATTTAATACTAAAATGCCGATTTACCAAATTTCATAGATAACTTTTACAATTGCTTATCTATTTATATAATTTATTTTTTCTTATTTTTTTTTGGGTTTTTCTAGGCATCTCTGGTCAGAGATATATAACTTATATATCTCTGGCCTTCTGGCCAATCAAAATGCAGAAAGGTCACGTGATCACTAGTTTTGCTGATCACTCGATCTCATTACTACGCCGGATGGGTCGACTATCTTTGTGTAACTCGGAACTACAAGTTCGCCGGCATTTACAAATTGTAAGGAAAAATAAAACTTTTCAGAACTTTAAATCAAAATAACTTGGCAACCACCTACCCATATTTGACAAACTTTTTTTATTTGAATTCTGTGAATCTATAGAATTCAAATAAAAAAAATTTATCAAGTTTGGTCTGGTGGTTGTGAAGATATCTTCACTCAAAGTTAGAGAAGAATCAAAACGCCTAACAAAATAGAAGCTATGTTAATTTTTTTAAAAAATTTGAGCGAAGATATCTCTGCAACCACCAGACCAAATTCGATAGAAATTTTTTATTACAATTCTATGGATTCATAGAATTGAAATAAAAAAATTTTATCGAATTTAGTCTGGTGGTTGTGGAGATATCTTCGCTCAAAGTTAGAGAAGAGTCAAAACGCCTATCAAAATAGAAGCTATTGTTAATTTTTTTAAAATTTTGAGCGAAGATATCTCCACAACCACCAGATTAAATTCGATAGAAATTTTTTATTACAATTCTATGGTTTCATAGAATTGAAATAAAAATTTTTTATCGAATTTAGTCTGGTGGTTGTGGAGATATCTTCGCTCAGGAAGAGTCAAAACGCCTATCAAAATAGAAGCTATGTAAATTTTTTTAAAAATTTGAGCGAAGATATCTCCACAACCACCAAACCAAATCTGATAGAAATTTTTTATTACAATTATATGGATTCATAGAATTGAAATAAAAAAATTTTATCGAATTTAGTCTGGTGGTTGTGGAGATATCTTTGCTCAAAGTTAGAGAAGAGTCAAAACGCCTATCAAAATAGAAGCTATGTTAATTTTTTTAAAAAATTTGAGCGAAGATATCTCCACAACCACCAGATCAAACTTGATAAAATTTTATTTTATTAGAATTCTATGACTCCATAGAATTGAAATAAAAATTTTTTATCTAATTTAGTCTGATGGTTGTGAAGCTATCTTCGTTCAAATTTTTTTAAAAAATTTATATAGCTTCTATTTTGATAGGCGTTTTGACTCTTTTCTAACTTTGAGCGAAGATATCTCCACAACCACCAAATCAAATTCGATAAAATTTTTTTTATTTCAATTCTATTGATTCATAGAATTCTAATAAAAAAAAAATTTACAAGTTTGATCTGGTGGTTGTGGAGATATCTTCGCTCAAATTTTTTAAAAAAATTAACATAGCTTCTATTTTGATGGGCGTTTTGACTCCTCTCTAACTTTGAGTGAATATATCTCCATAATCACCAGACCAAACTTGGTAAAAAATTTTTTTATTTGAATTCTATGAATCCATAGAAATTCAAAAAAAAAAATTTTATCTAATTTTGTCTGGTGGTTGTGGAGCTATCTTCGCTCAAATTTTTTAAAAAAATTTACATAGCTTCTATTTTGATAGGTGTTTTGACTCTTCTCTAACTTTGAGCGAAGATATTTCACAACCACCAGACTAAATCTTTTTATTTCAATTCTATGAAACCATAGAATTGTAATAAAAAATTTTTTATCGGATTTGGTTTGGTGGTTGTGGAGATATCTTCGCTCAAATTTTTTAAAAAAATTTACATAGCTTCTATTTTGATAGGCGTTTTGATTCTTCTCTAACTTTGAGCGAAGATATCTCCATAATCACCAGACCAAACTTGATAAAATTTTCTTTATTTGAATTCTATAAATCCATAGAATTGTAATAAAAAATTTCTATCGGATTTGGTTTGGTGGTTGTGGAGATACTTCGCTCAAATTTTAAAAAAAATTACACAGCTTCTATTTTGATAGGCGTTTTGACACTTCCCTAACTTTGAGCGAAGATATCTCCACAACCACCAGACTAAATTTGATAAAAATTTTTTATTTCAATTCTATGAAATCATAGAATTGTAATAAAAAATTTCTATCAAATTTAGTCTGGTGGTTGTGGAGATAGCTTCTATTTTGATAGGCGTTTTGACTCTTCTCTAACTTTGAGCGATTATATCTCCACAACCACCAGACTAAATTCGATAATTTTTTTTTTATTTGAATTCTGTAGATTCATAGAATTCAAATATGTGAGTGTGGTTTCAGTTTGTGAAGGAAATACCGGTTGTTGAATGGTTGTTGTTAGTATTTAGTATTATTGTAATAATCCGATGTATTGAGAAATTCTATAATCTGTAATTATGTGTGTTAGTTTATTGATTTAAACCATTTAACCTTAATCACTATTTGTTCATGATCGAAGCTAAGTCCCACCAGTCATGGAGGTATGAAAAAAGAGGAGCACTTTGGTCAGTATGCAACAATTTAAAATATACAGTACCCGGGATCTTATTCAAGGACTCTATTTTTTAAATTAATTAGTACCCATGGGTACTGTGTGAAGAACCGGGTACTATATACGGAGGTTATATTGTCAAAAATTAAGCCCGGGTATTATACTTTATGCAGTGCGATACGGTATTGATCAAGATCATGATTTTAAATTAAAAATTGTACAATGAAAAAAATTACATAACAATAACACAATAACAGATAACAAAAAAAATTTATTTAAAAATAAATAACACCAGAAATCTATTTAAAAAGATCAAAAAACTAAGAATCATCTGATGCAAGAAACCTACTTATCTTGCGAAACCCAAGAAAAAAAAAAAACAACTAAAATGTAATCATCCAAAATGACAACACCAAAATGACAGAATCACTCCAAAACAAGTTTCAAGAGCTAAACCCACAGATGAAAAAATTAGTTCACGCCAAAAAGAAACTACTAAAAGTGAAAATACCAACAAGACTTACCAATAAGAACATTGAAGAGCCTAAAATCACTAATGAAATTTCTACAAACAACATCAACGAAACAGCAAAAGCATATCGTGAAGGTTCCAAAAGACAAAAACAATAATACCAAAGTGATTTACCTATTATTCTAGCAAAAAAAAAAAAAAATCAAACCAAGAAAGAAAAAAAAATTACTTAAACGAAAACGTCCAAAACAACAATGCCAAAATAACAGAATTACTTCAAAACAAGTTTTGAGAGCTAAACCCACAAACGAAAAGATTAGTTCAAGCTGAAAAAAAACTACTAAAAGTGAAAACATTAACAAGACTTACCAATAAGAACGTCGAAGAGCCTAAAATCACCAACAAAATTTTTACAAAATGGCAAAAGCCCGAAAACACCAAATAATGATGAAGTCTAAAATTATCACAAATGATAGCACTAAAGTGAAGAGATTAGTTCAAGTCAAGAAAAAAAAGAAAAAAAGCACTGTATCACTAAATCCCAATTCTAGTAAAGTGAAAACACTTACCTAGAAGAACTTTGCAACAACAAAATCAGAAACACCAAAACAACGAAACCTCTACAAATAATATCACCAAAACAACAAAGCCTGAAATCACTAACAACAATACTGAAATGACCGAAATCATTAGTTCAAGTTGAGAAAAGAAAAAAAACCCTAAAATTCTACTTCTAGCAAGACAAACTTACCAAAATGAATGCTGAAGAACCTAAAATTATTAATGACTAAACCCTAAAATTTCTACAAATGATGTCACCAAAATGGTAAAAGCCCTAAAATTACCAATGATGGCACTGAAATGATGAAGCCTGAACTACACTTAGAAGAAAAAAAAAGTAGTAGCAGCCAAGTGAAGACCAAAAGACCGGAAGAGCAAGTAGTAATAAAACCAAAAGGGCTTGAAAAGCGAAAGCCACAAATTCCAACATAAGAACCGACACAGCAACTATATATCTGGAGGGAAAAGAAAAAAGAAAAGCATTAGTTGAGTACAAACAAAAAGAACTTTAACAATAAAATTTATAAACTCCAATAGTGATGACTCCAATGATGATGACTCCAACCTGTAAAAAAAAAAAATCATTAATCGAATATAAAAAGAAAAAAAACAAATCACATACATGCAGTACTATGTAAATAATCTGATCAAGAAAATTCACACATGCCATGCAAGCTCAGGCTAGTTATCGATGGTCAGATTAGCAGTGAACACTAATCATATGATTTTCTTGGATTTTGATTGGCTAAGAAGACCAGAGATATATAAGCTATATATCTCTGACTAGAGATGCCTAGAAATTCTTTTTTTTTGTACACTCTTTTAATATATATAACTATAAATTTAATTATCATCATCAATTTTCAAACTAATCATCAATCAACTATCAATCACAATTCTTTTTTAAATTCTTAAATTCAGATAAACTGCAACAAGTTTTTTTACCCAGTCATTATTTAATAAATTTTTCATACTTTTTGGAAGCTTTTTGCATTTATATAAGTGATCCTTTAATCAAGCGACTAAGGCTGTTCTTAAGCATTTTGCTCAATGGATCAGACATAAATTTTTAATTAATCAGAAATTGAATAAATCAATTAAGTGAGTTTACCAATTCGATCAACAAATCAATAAGATGCAAACCACCTTTTTTCTCCAAAAATTTACCATTGATAAAGATCGCTCAAGTATTATTTTTACATTTTAACATATCAAATATAATAAACAATGAATTCACAACAAATTTACAACAAATTTCAAACTGGTCTAAAAAATTAGCCCTAAACAATCATCTACAAATATAAAAAAAAAGTAAATATTTAAATATTAAAAGCTTAAAATGTCAATTAAAAAATAATTTTATTCAAGTTTTACAAAGATGTAAAATAGGCAATGTATATTAATTATAATAAGAATTGATTAATTAATAAGTTCAATAAACCAGTTTTGCATCTCTATTTCATAGTTAACAAGTTTCTGAAACATGCATGAAATCTTATATCATTGTGATGTTCAAACTTTCTATTGCTATTAACCTCACTTAATATTGTCATTTTACATATATTCTTGCTAATCATTTCATCATAAACATTTTATTACTTACATCATTGGCTAAAAATATAAGCATTTTTTTGAATATTACTTCTCTTTTCAAACAAACAGCTAGTTAGTGTTCCTATGAACCTGAACTGAACTGAACTTTGGTCAAGTTCAGGTTCAGGTTCAGTTTAATCAGGTTTAGTATTGAACTTTTAAGTCAAGTTCATGTTCAGTTTAGGTTCAGTATTGAACTTTTAAGTCAGGTTTATGTTCAGTTCAGGTTCAGTATTGAACTTTTAAGTCAGGTTCATGTTCAGTTTAGGTTCAGTGACGAAATATAGTAAATAGTAAAAATATGGGCTGTGTGCTGAAAAAGGGTCCAAAATCATAAGTTTTTCAAAAATGTTTTTTTGAGCCTTACTAATTTAAAATCGACTCAGAAATATTTTTACTTAAAGTAGAATTGCTATTAACTTAATAAAATTTTATATTATAGGCAGAATAATGCAAAAAGCTATTTTGATCGGATAAATATTTTTGATATAAATCAATATAGATCACAAGATCGTTTCGAAATTTATTGGCATGTTGATAAACCAATCAAAATCATGGATTAATAATACAAAATGCGAGCCAATTTTTAACATTTTTTGAAGTTCCCTTTGATTTAAGATTATCTGCTAAGAAAATAGGTATTCTTGTTTTTACTTAAATTTAGCAGCTGATAGTGTTTTAACATTGATAACATCAACTTATCAGATACTTTTAAAAATAGAAATCTGAACAACATTCTGCGATAATGATTCAAGTATTTTTTTTTAACTTTATACGGTGTCAATCTTGGAATTCCAATAATAAATATTTTTTTGTATTACGCTTAATCGGTGGTAATTTTTAACCTTAATACTGTATATTATTAAAGTTAGAAATTGCCAAATATTATTAGATATTATATACTGTATTCAACATTTTAATAATTTTTTTGGTCTAGTGCTAAAATGTTAATTAATTCATGATATTATGGATGGTTTAGATAAAATGATTTTGGCCTGTGAATATAAAAGTGAAGAGGCACTCATTCATTATCAAATAATGCGAATATAATGAAATATTCTGGCTTCATCATTATTTGAGTTGGAATTAAAAAGGATGATGTATTAAATTATTATCGAATATGTGCAGGTATAAATGATTGTGCAATAAATTTTTTCTTGATCATTATTATTAAGATTAAAAATTCATTATTCATTATAGATATAAATAGTCTGGCGAGTGTTGTGCAACAGTTTGTCCATTGGTAATTGTCGCATCCTTTTATTGTTTTATTTATTACGTGATATAATAAATAAGACAACAATAGTAAGTGACAATTACCAATAAACAAACTATTGCACAACACTGGCCTAGTGAAATACTCTGGCTTGACTATTGTTACAAACTTGTAGCTAGGATTAAAAGGTATTCATTAACTATCAAAATCTGTAAGTATGAATGATCTGATCAAAATATTCTGGATTGGTTATGAAATTGGAATTAAGGATGAAAATAAAGTATTAATTCATTGTTGAAGCCAAAATAGATAGAATATAATGATTTGAGTTGTTTGTATTAGAATTAGTAATGTTAGTAGCAAACCTGTCAATCCTGTGATATCACGAGATCTGGAAAAAAACCTATTGTACCACCCATATGAGAAATAAAGACTTCATCCTAAAAAGACACAGATCGGTCTAAGCCTCTCAAAAGCCCTAACTGAACAGAGTAGGTTATGGCCAAATTGTGGCTATGAGGATCCCAAGACCACGGTAAGAAGAAAATGAAAAATAGGTGAAGGGAATAAGCCCCTCGTTCCATATTTGAAAAACCAGAAAAATCTGAAAAAGACAATGATCTGATGATTGTCAAGGGTGAGAAGTAAAACTGGTAAAGAGTGAGACTATGTATTCTTTAGCTTCTTTTCTTTTTTTTTTGGTATTAAGGTAACCTCTTTGGTTTGAGAAACTTTTTATTAGAGTATAGATGAAGTTTTATATGTAATTACAACGATGGTACATCAAGCAACATGTGCACCTTTTGAGTGCCTATTTAAGTAGTCCACCCGAAGGTTCTACACTATCTGCCATACCTGCACCCCAACTAGGGGGTACCTATTTAAACCATTTGGTTCTAACTAC